TTTGGAAGATTCCCACATTTTTTGTATTAAGATGGAGTAATAAAAAGCCATACACTTTCTTTCCCAAAAATTAGTTACTCCTAAAAATATAACTTTTTCAATTTATGAAATTTTAATTTTTAAACTAATTCCTACATAATTCTATTCAAATTGGTTTGAAAAAAATAATTGCAATGTTCGAGAACTGATCTATGTCAACACATTATTATATTTCAGATTGAAATTTATTTCAATAACCCGTTAGAAATATTCATTATTACTTTTTTGCTACTCCTACAAAATCTATAAGTCAAAACTCTATGAAGATAACGTTCAATGTTGTAACATTTATCACAATCATGGTTTATTATTTTGGACAATATAGAAATCGAAGAAAATTAAAAACATTTAATGATATTGAATGGAAAGTTGAAAACAGATGTTTTCATACTGTTTGTTTCTTCGCCTGTAAATGATTTAAAATCTTTAGTTCTCCATCAATTCACATGATTTGTCGTCGAGGAAGAGAAGTCTTAGGAAATGTAATTCACAAAAGTACTGAACCACGGAACTTCCAATACAGTAATCATTTATACAGTCGATTCATTTGTGAATGATTCCTAATTGATAGATTTTTACGGTCATTTGATATGCATAGTATGATTCTCAATATATTTCTGGTATGTTGGTATATTAAAATTTGAAATTCGACCAGTACTGCTTCAGTGTTCAACAATCTCCTTCATTAAAAAAATTAACTGATCAATTTCATTTTAAATATTTTTTTGAAAAACCTTCTCAGGGTCAATTACTCTTCACAAAGCACAAGCAGTAACTCGTTTTACAAATGTCATCTCCGATGATGACGAAACGTCGACTTTCGAAAAACTCCGACCGGATGAATAACTGGGTAAATTACCCTGCATATATATGTCTATTTCTAGTTTCTCAGCGAACATTAATATGAAAGTGGGTTGTTCTTATATCGAAGCTGAATTACAAATCCAGAATGAATAAAGAAATGTTCACAAACAAAATCAGTTTGCCAGCACTCTGAGACATTCAATAAACTAATAACTTGAACTAAAAATCAAATAAAAGAAGAGATTGAATTCAATGACAAGAAACAAAAACGTTTGCAAAAGGAAAGATAGTAGACCATTAGAACAATCGAAGGTTAATATGTTAATACCACTCATGAAACCATGCGAAAGATGAAGGTTTGAATCCTGCCAATTTCGAAGATTTTATAAAAATCTTCAGTTCGACTTAATGTTGAGCTCAAAGTGTGAGATCTTCACCTTTTCTTGGCACAAAATCGTAGGAGACTTTTGTTAGAAAGAGGTTGGATAGATGGTTGAAATGACTAAATAAACGATAGCAGGTACAGAATATTGGAATATTGGGGAGGCTGAGAAATCATGCGACGTGGAAAGAATGTATGGCTGATGAAACTAGAAGGCCATAAAGACGTTGGAAATGTATTATTGTGGGATGTGGTGGTAGTCACTAAGCAAAGTGATAGATATATTTATCTATCACTTCATTTTCGTGTAGAAATAGATAATGAAAGTGAATCAAGATTCAATAACATATTTTATGGATAACAACATCTCTAGGTTAGGGGTTACAAAACAATGGTACTGGAAGTAGTATTGTTATAAACAAAAGGTCTATAAATATGTATAAACACTAATTAAATGGATTCAAAAATAATTGAAATATATTGAAACGACTTTTACAAAATAATTCTTACACTAGAATGTCTATTTCGAAACAATTCTAACGTTAGATATAGACCATCTTATCATCTATTTTAAAAATATCAGTTCTACAGTCGGCTGCATTTTTGGTATTATTTCGAAACCGGAATTATCATTTCCGTCGTTTATATGCCGTTTGATTTCTCTTTCAGTTTTATTCCAATCTCGACGGAAATATTGAAATGGAGTTCTGGGGAAAGTTGAAATGCTTTGTTGAAGTCGTTAATACTGTCAATGTTATACTGAGCGTATTTTTGGTATGCATAATTCTAGTTATTCTACTAATTCCGGTTGGAGAACAATAAAACATCTCTAAAATGTCATGTTTTCATTCAAAACCTACTTCAAATATTACGTTTATATAACTGTATCTTATTAATGTTTCTTCAAATGGTATGTATTTTTGACTTTCGTCGGGTTATTATTGCAAAGTGTAAACATATTATATTCAATAAAAAGTTCCAAAGGGCACCCATTCATGAAGCTAGTAGCACATTGGTAGTTTCAATTTGTAACTATTTCCTTACAAAATCCTACAGATTTTTGGTACGCGCTATACATATACTATATCATTAGGAAATTAATATATACAGGGTGTAACTAAATAAGTGTAAAACATTTGAGGAGGTGATTCCTCATCGAAAAAAA